AGGGGAAGTGGGAGGGGTAGGGGAAAGGAAAGAAGGGAAAGGAAAAATTATGAGAAATGGAAAAAAAGGAAATAAAGTCTTTATAAATGGGAAGGGTGGAGGGGTGAAGGGAAGGCAGGGAATGGGGAAAAAATAAGAACCAAGATGCACCATGTAAAGGTACATGTTCCCAATGATAAATATAAATGTATTGTATACCTAAAATGTACCAATAAAAGAATTTAAGGAAAAAAATGTATAACTTACTTGACATGTAGCAGGCACATATAATTACATCCAGTCATTTATAGATGCTGGCTTCCACTGAAGTATTTTCTGAGTGGGGACCACTTTCCTTCATAGTCTTAGCCCTGAGACCCATTTCCCTACCTCTTTTTACCATACGAGCTTATAAGCAAAACGGCTCTACTCTATGATCTGTAAGCACAGATCCCCCTGATCAGTGGAAACCAGAGTTGCTGCTCTATCAGTGCTAAACCATGCAATTTTATTTCAGTAGTTTATTTCAGCTCAATTCTGACTTGCCAAGTTTGGTGACCTTATTAGAACAATGCTACTATCAGAAATTTAGCTTATGGCCTTGATTTCACAATTCACAATAAAACTGAAGAGATAGAACTTACCCAGGCTCATACCCATTCAATAATAAAACAGTTTGAAAAGTACTTTTTAGGTCTTCTGAGTATAATTTAATGCATTTTTGAGAGAAAGAATAAGAGTGAAGTACTATCAATGGTGTTGGTGGGTACTGTGCTATAAGTAGCACACTGGGTGAAAATAGTTCAGATATTAACTATTACAGAAATCCACAGCCAAATTTTTTTTTTTTGGTACCAGGGATCACACTCAGGACCTTGCATTTGCAAGGCAGGCAGCAGAACCACTGAGCTAAATCCCCGGCCCTCCACAGCCACATTATAAGAGCCAAGTGCTCTGGACATATATATTTTCAGTGAGTAAAAAATTTTAATCATTCACCATCTTATTCTGATCACTTTTCTTTTGGCAAAAATTTAGATGATGATCCCCAATCTAAATAATAGTATGAAATTTAAAAAAGAACATGTTCTTTCCAGTATGTATAATGAGCAGTGTATAAATTTTCCAATGCTGCCATAACAAATTATCAAAAGTTTAGTGAATTAAAGCAAAAAAAATTATCTTACAGTTCTGCAGGTCAGAAGTCCAACCCCGATCATTAGGCTATCATCAAGATGTCAAGAGACCCGCACAAGAGTCCCACAGAAGAGTATTTCCTTGCTTTTTTGTTTCTAGAAGCCACCTCAGTCTTTCTATGGCTGATGGCCCCTTTCCTCGATCTTCAACACCAGCAAGTGGAGTCAGAGCTTTTTTCCATTTCACATCTCTCTCTCTGAAAGGTTCTCCACTATTAAGGACTCATTTGATTAAAATGGTTCCACTTGGATAACCCAGGGTGTTCTTCCCATTTCAGGTTGTAATACATTCAGCCACATCTGCCAAGACCCTTTCGCCCTGTCTTCACAAGGTCAAGGGACTAGGACATGAAGATACTTAATGGTCCTTCACTGAAACAAATAGGCACTTTCAATTCTAAGTTCAAATCAGTAAGAAAAAAGTATTTCAAATCATCTTATTTGTCAAAGAGAAAAATTTTCCAACTTTGAAATATTTTGAAGTTTAAAGATAACTTAGGGGGAGAGCGCCGGGCGTGAGTGGGCGGGGAGGGCGGCGCGGGTTGCCCTCTGCGGCCTTGTACATCACCTTCCGGGACCGAAGCCGCCCGCAGTAGCGGGCAGCCCCAGCCGCACCCGCCCTCAGCGCCGGAGGACATGCTGGAGAGACAATGAGCCAGAGGGACACGCTGGTGCATGTTTGCCGGGGGATGTGGTGGCACAGTGGGAACTACTCTGACGTGTCCACTGGAAGTTGTAAAAACACGGCTGCAGTCGTCTTCTGTGACACTTTATATCTCAAGTTCAGCTGAACAGCATGGCTGGAGCCAGTGTTAACCGAGTAGCGTCTCCTGGACCCCTCCATTGCCTAAAAGTAATCTTGGAAATATAGTGGGGGTGGGCCCTTCCAGAGCAATATACTTTGCTGCTCACTCCAACTGCAAGGAAAAATTGAATGGTGTATTTGATCCTGATTCTACCCAGGTTCACATGATTTCAGCTGCAGTGGCAGGCTTTACTGCAATCACTGCAACCAACCCCATTTGGCTTATAAAGACTAGGTTACAGCTTGATGCAAGGAACCGTGGGGAAAAGCAAATGGGTGCTTTTGAATGTGTCTGTAAAGTGTATCAAACAGATGGACTTAAAGGATTTTACAGGGGCATGTCTGCTTCCTGTGCTGGCGTATCAGAGACTTATCCATTTTGTTATTTATGAAAATATAAAGCAAAAACTACTGGAATGTAAGACTGCTTCTATGATAGAAAATGGTGAAGAGTCTGTAAAAGAAGCATCAGATTTTGTGGGAATGATGCTTGCTGCTGCCACCTCAAAAACAACTATAGCATATCCACATGAAGTTGTAAGAACAAGACTACGCGAAGAAGGAACAAAATATAGATCCTTTTTTCAGACACCATCTTTGGTGGTTCAAGAAGAAGGTTACGGGTCCCTCTACCGTGGTCCAACAACTCATTTGGTGAGATAAGATTCCAAACAAAGCCATTATGATGGCCACCTATGAATTAGTGGTCTACCTCCTCAATGCACAGCAGCGCAGGCTGCCACCTTGCAAGAGGGAAGACCAAAAGATTACAGTGGATCATGGAATACTGGAGTCAGCATGGTGGACAGAAAGAATAGTAGTTTGGGAACATGTACCATAATATGCCTAAGTGGAAGTTTGGTGAAGATAGCTGCACCACATTACTTAGTCTTTCAGTAATATGGAAAAACCTTAGCCACCTCTAAAGGAAATGCCTTTGGAAGCACTCCTTTGTCAAAATTGCCATTTCTCTACCATGTCTACCAGATACAGTTGTGTTTTATTGACCTATAACATTGACAGTATAGTGTTTATTCCAAGAGGATTTTTCCAGTCTTCTAAACAAAGCCATCCTTAAATATATACTGTACTGTAGATAACATAAATATCTAACTTCTGACTTTTAATTCCTGTAATACTGTAAGATAACAATAATTGGTAGATACTCCAGTATTCCCATGTTGCTGAGATGACTTGGCACAATATTTTAATTATTTGGCACCAGTAATCACTGTTTTTGACAACCAAGGAACTGTAGTCTAAATATCTTGTGTATTAAAATGTTTGAGTCTCTTCAGCTAACAGGTGCTTGATGTTTAGCATAACGTAGATTTCAAACTGTTACCATATAAAACTCACATCATAATACTTTGCAGATTAAAAAAATTAACCAATAAAATATTTATTCTTGACCAAAAAAAATAAATAAGTAAAATAAAGATAACTTAGGTGGCCAGGGATTTAGCGCAGTGGTTCTGCTGCCTGCCTTACAAGCACAAGGTCCCAAGTTCAATCCCCGGTACCAAAACAAACAGACAATAAAGATAACTTAGCATTTATAGAAAAAATTTATTCTGGGTGTGGTAGCACACGTCTATAATCCCAGCACTGTGGGTAGATGAAACAGGAAGATCACAAGTACATATACACAGTTGCATATGGCATTAGGTACATTAGTATTAAATATACTGATACTTTAAAACTTCCTAATCAGCCCAAGAAAGGAAAAACTCATTATTATATAATGCACTGACAGCTACACACCATTAGTGGTCGTGAGGTAAAATATATCTTAATCATTGTCTAAAGTACATATGGGGCACATACTCTAAACAACTTTTTCTGAATTTTTATTTCAACTCAATGAAAAGTCTTTAAATATGTGCAAGTATAAGGAAAAATTATTGTACTGTATATGATACATAAATGTATTCTTTAACAGTACATACACAAGTGCAGAGCAAAAACCCTCTCTGGCAAATTGAGGGCCCATTTATACACCGCAGCTGAGTTCTTCTTCTTCCAACAAGGAACATGGCAGAAAGCCTGAGCAGCTTTCTATCCATAAGCACTAAAGTGGGAGAATGGAGGACAGGCAGAAAGACAAGGGTCAACTTTGTCAAAACAAAATTTCCACATTTTTTTAATGTGCAAAAACTGAAACAGAGCCGCAAACCACATTGCTTTGGCGAAAAAAAAGATATTGTACTCTGAAGTTTTAAAATTTGAAATTAAGATGATACTATAAATAAGACACTTTTTTAATTTGAGAAAGTTCAAATATTTTCATCCTAATTGAATGAATTGCATGATCGATTAAATATTGTCAGCATTACTTTCCACAAAGTTTCCATTAAAGTTTTTCATTGCAGCCACACACCTGAGTGTTTTAAATGACATGAACATACCCATTTGCAGCCAGAGACTCACATTTATAGTTTGCTGCTTCAGTAGAAGCTGGAGATGAAACAGTAGCACAACAGTAGCAAAACAAGATTTGGATTTCATGATGAGTTGGTCTGTGGAGCTTTAGGATTCACAGGAGAAATTAAATCTTTGAATTTATTTTTTAACAAATGAAAATTCTGCTTTAACATATTATTTAGAAAATGGCTATAAAGGCTTTATTTATTTTTATTTTTTGGTAAAGGATTACCAAAAAAATGATATCCTATTATGCACCATGCAAGATGCAAAAAATAATGATTCACAAATGACTCTAGAACAACTAAGAGAATCATGTTCTCTTTTCACTATGTACTTCCAAATTAAACATGTTTTTCAGGTTAAAATCTGATTAACAGTCAATGGAAAATTACATCCCTAATTTAAGAACTTCAACTTCCTTGAATTAAAAAAAGAAGTATGAATGATTATAGGTTTAAAATATGTTACTTCAGGGAAAAGTCTTGATTTGCTGCTTTGTTCTTTTACCTATTCTTCTCCTTTATTATAAGACAATGCATTGTTATTGTGAGGACAATTTCTGATTCAGTTCCAGTGCTCTTGTATCTCTGTGAGTTTCAGCATTTTTTACCAACACCTGTGGGAAATCACATACAGGAAAGTTAGCATTTTGTTTACTAACAAGATCTATATTTAGATTCCAAAGGGCAGCAATCTTGAAAAGGCAGCATTAAACTACACAAGAAAAAGTGACTGCATGCAATCTTTGTCACTTTGGCCAAAATAAATTGTTCAGCCAAAGCTAACGTGAGAGCAGCACAATTTACTAGCATTAATGGTAACATTTTGACTATTACCATTGGCAGCCCTGTATAAAAGTAAAGGTTTTGTTCGGTAGCATTGTTTACATTTCTGTCATGTCTAAACCCTAACCCAAAATGACACTTTATGTACAGAACTGTCAAAATTACCACAGTTGAGGATCTAGGCTCTAGGCTTTATCAAGAATCTTTCCATGTTTACACAAATTTCACAAACTAGACGATTCACTTCTAGGTAATCATTCAATTATTGAAGTATTTTTGGGTTGTTCATTGTCAAACACTATGAAGTGTTTGAGAATTTACTCTACTTTCAAGCTGAAGAGATAGCCTATTACAGTTTTACAGTGTTTTCAGAAAAAAGGACTCCTGCATCAGAGAAAAACGTCTTCATTACACAGGTATAGTAAGTGGAAAGAGCATCAACATATTGGTATCCATCCCGTTGCTCTATAAGCCTGGCAGGGGTTATGTGGATGATACACAGCTTCCTACCTACATAGAAACTGCATTATAAGAAGGGAACCCTGAGCCCAGCAGACTCAACTCTTTTATAATGGGTGGTGGAATGCAGTAAAGGAATGCCTATGCTTTGCAGTTACAGGAGACATTATCTGTCTCCCAAGGCTGCTCACTATACATTCCTGAAATGATAATCTAGAGCACAGAATCATCAGGACCCCTGCTCACAGGACATTTAGAAATACAACAGACTCACAGTAAATTATTTCCAAACATGTACACATTCTACCTTTTTGGTTTACAATATGTTGATTAGAATGCCTTTCTACAAGCCTTGTTCTCTTTACAATTTCTTTAATGTTGTCTATTTTACCAAAAGGAAAATAGCATTTCAAATGCAATTGGAACTGAAAAGACTTTTCATTAGTTTTCATGAGATTAGTTAAGGAATCTTATCTTTATATATTGTTATGTACTCTACCTTTTCCAAAAGAATTTCAGATACAAATACATTTATATATTTAGATACTGCCATCCTATAAAGAATAAAAATTGTCACATGCATTTTATAGAAAAGACAAAGAAAAGCAAAATAATGTTTTCAAAAACAATAGATCCTAGTGCCTCTACCCCAGTGATGACGAACCTTTTACACACGAGTGCCCAAACTGCAACCCTAAACCCACCTACTCATCACAAAGTGCCAGCACTGCAATTAAACCAGAATACTAAGGTTTTACTTCAGAAACAGCAACTCATACATTAACATCTTTGGTCTTGAAAGAAAAACAACATGCACCATAGCTTCGCCACCACTGCTCTACCCCTTGCTCTATCTACGATTTGTTTCCATGTCAATGGCCATAAAAAAATACAACTAGCACCTGTCACTTTTGTCTACCTTTTTAAAAAAAACTCTACATAGCACATTAGAAAACTGTATTATCTACAGTTCAAATCATTAGTTTTCAAAATGATGCCTCAGAGATCACTTGACAATGTATAGAAGACAATTTTTGGTTGGTAAAGTAGGTATGTAGTGGGGCAGACCACAATGCTACTGGCATCTAATGGTTGGACACCAGGGATGCTGCTAAGTGTTCAACACTGCACAGAATGGCACCTACTATGACAGAGAACTGTCTAGTCCAAACTTGCAATGGTGCTGAGGCTGAGAAACACTGGATTAAACAAATTCCAAAGGGTGTATCACACTCTTTGTTCAGGAAAAGAAAAATATGAGCAGACCTAACAGTGCTACTGTTACAATGTTAACACAAAACCAGTGCTGACTTGCTCATCTTCTGTCCTGTGGCTTTTATTTTATCGACCCATTTCTAAAGACAACAAAGATAAAGAAAGGGAGTGTAGTTAATTCATTCCTTTCTGATTAAAAAAAGAAAAAAATGATTATTGGTACTGCCTCAGGCTGAGTTTAGATGGGCATATATTTGTACTGCTACAAATTTCACTACATAAGAGTTTTAGATCAGCATCACTTGACTTTTCTAGCCATATGAACAATTATTTTTGTATTTTCAACAGATATAACTGTAGTCATGGTAGCATTTGTTGATCAAAGAATTATATGGCTCCCTTTTTCAAAGTTTCAATCATAAAAGGAAGTAACTTTGAAAAATAATACTACATCTGTAGGTCCAAGATCAGATATTTTAAATAAAAATCAATGCCTTACATCAATAAGCTCATAGTCATTTTTGGCATAGAGATGTCTCAGTAGGTACCAACGTGCAGTTGATACGATAGATTTGGGATACCCAGGCTGATACACCACTCTCTCCAAAAGTCGCCGTGTCTCTCTGGAAAAAAAGATATTTACATTTTGAGTCAAAACGTGTAAATTAACATGAGATACTTTATATATAATACTAGTCTTGCACACATAATTTTCTTTTGAAAGCAGAAATTCAATCAATTGATAATACAATGGTAATATATAGTGGGACAAGAAATATTTAAAATCTACACTAGAGGCTTACAGTGCATGTTTTCAAGGATATGCACACTATGTGAACTCACAGTAGGCTGATTAGTAGCAATGTTCTGATTGTTTCTCTCCTGATGTACTAACAATTATGACAACTAGGACAACGTCTGTAGTGGTAGAAACAACGTGAACGGTAGCAACTTTAGCACTGCTAAATCACGTCTTCTAAGTAGAAACTGGTTTGAAGCAGGAACTAAAGAACTTAAAGAAGTTTTGGCAGAGGGATCGCATAGTCAGCAGTGTTTTTTTTCCTAGACTGTGCTTTTGAGATGATTTTTGGAAATGATAAAAATTGAGGGAGGTGTTAGCAAGACTATAGGGGAAGGGAATATATGCTCCCCAAGTCACCCACAACATGAATCAACAGAATGAGCTCATTAGAAAATTTATAAACTAAAACTTTACTTGGTGAAATCAGCCACACACACACAAATGGCCAAAAATAAATAAATATTTAAAAAAATACTGGAATTGCAGATTAGCCATATGGGTCTTAATTCTTCATCCCAACTTTGTGATATGTTTTTCGCACACATCTTTATGTATTAAGCTCTATTTCAATGATATCTATTATGTTCCAGTAATGTTTGTTCCTAAATCAGTTTTACTTATCACTGTTTTGTACTGTGTGTTATCTATTAGCATTAAATCTTGTTTTAAGAATTTTTAAATACTCTTGCCTATTTATTCATCCATATGACCTCTAAGTAATTTTCATCACATTTATTTAGACAACACTCTCACCCTCTAATAAAAATATCGATTAAGATTTTTTATATTTTAATTTAGCAGGTTTTGGATTTTCTAGATATGAAATCCCATTATCTACACACAACATGTCTGTCTTTCAATATTTTCACTTTTTCCATAGTCTACTGCATTAGCAAGAATTTCTATTTATGTCTCAAAGTTGTGCATTCCTGATTTTGTTTGTTTCTGGAATGCACATCACACTTGGAACATCCTAAAATACTGGAGAACAAAAACTCCAGAGACTTTTTACTTGCAACACTGTGATGTCAAACCTCTACTATCTATGTCAATGTATCAAACTATTTTTCAAACAAGAAATTTTCTCCCTTACTAAATTACTCTAACCAACCATTGTAGATTGAGATAAAAGAATGACTAAAGTTTCATAGTTGGTTAAGCTGATTATAAACCTTTCCTTGATTGTTTCCCAAAAGGCTAATGTGAAGCAGAATTCATTTCCAAGAAGAAAAAAAAAAGAAGATTCTTCATACCTTGCCCCCATTTTGCGGTTGAATTGTAATAAAGCTTGCAAAAGAACAGCCAGCGGACAAAAGCAAAGTTTCAAGGCCTCAGCTGTAGCCTCTTGAACCAAGGACGGCCAGTGATCACTGGAAATATTAGCCTTTACAAACATAAGATAAAGATTAGCTCAAAGATTTTGACACATTTCACTTCAAAAGTAAGCAATTCAATTTTCATCTATTGAGACTCTACTTGTCCAAGTTACCATAAAAATGCTACAAGGAAGAGAATTACTAAAAATGATTCAAAATCTGATCTTTGCCCTTAAGGAGCTACAGAACAGGTAGACTGAGATAAAGTCTCATATAGGAAGTATAAATCTAAAAAACATTAAAGTATTTGTTAAAAGAAAATGCATTATTATACTATATAGGTGAATAAAATCTGTCAGTAAGCTTTTGGTCTACCAAATATACAAAACTCAATTTAAGTTGATTAACTTTTTAACTAGTACTATAGTGAAAAAATATAAAGCTCCACGATTCAAGAAAGTATCTAAATAAAAAGGAAAATCTGAAATGAAACATTTCAATAAAATCAAAATAGAAAGTAAACAACAGATCAGAAATACTTAAGTTATCAACACTGAAAATTTAAAAAATCATCTTATGGGAGAAATGCTTATGTACATTACTTGTGTTACAAACTAGTTTTATAATATGAATTGACTCAAAAATAACATATCTATTTCCTAAAAACCAGTAACTGAAACTAAATGTTATCTGAATTAAGAAAAAAAAATAGCAAATTATTTTCATTAAAAGCCTCAAAATGTAACCAAGATTTCTTAATTACAAATATCCATTATACACATGTGAATAAAGTCAATATAATGATTCAATATACAGTCTTTTACATTTTAATAAAGTCAATAAAATGAGTCAATACACAGTCCATTTCAAACACTACATTTTAAGAAAAAAATGTTAGAGCAATATTCTGTGAGCAGTGTAGGCAGTTGTAATATGTTTAATCAAAGAAGACGAAGCATAATGAATTTGAAAAAAAAGAACAGAGGCTGAGGTGTCTTCTATAAATACGGAAGCAGTGGGACTGGGAGTACGTATAACGAAGATAATAAGGCAAGGCACAGACTAATAAAATTGTTCCTAACAACTTTTTCAAACCTGTAACACAATACTTTCATTGATGTTTTTAATAATGCACTAATTAAATTCTAAGAAATAGGGAAGTATTCTTTAAAGTTAGCCCAAAGATGAGTACATAAGGCAAAAGTTACTAATTATAACAAACACACTGAACAATATGATCAGAATGCACTTTTATTTTTGCCTCCCCCTATCACTTTAAAATTTATTTGGGGACTTTTACTCTGTCCCTGAATATAAATTATAGTAGCCCCCATGCCTTTTATGTCATAATTTTTCTTATATTCATTTACAAATACAGTCTCAATTAAAATGCTTTCTACCTTTCAGTATTTCGATCTTTATGCAAAGATAATATCTGCAGCCCTCTCCCCAATTCCCTCAACTCCCAGAGTAAGGCCTGGCTACACGCAGCACTGGATGGCTTATTTGTCCTGCCCGTCACTTCCATCTCTTTTTACTAATCACAGTTTTGTGCTCTCTTGATTGGTACCATAATAAGATAGTGTTAGAGACTCCAATCTCATGGTAGTTGCTCATCTGCAGGTCCAGGAGGACCTATGAAGCACAGTGCAAAACAAAAGTGAAGAGCATTTTGCTCAGAATTTAAGAATTTCAAATGGTGACCATAGAGCATTAAACCAAGTGTAGAGTTCAGTGTAGCCACGGAGGATATATGCCCATAAAGCCAGCTCTGTTCTTCTGTAGGTTCACTAACTTGGACAAATGTATAGATGGTTTCTCAACTTATGATGGGCTATGTCCCAATGTTATGTACAGTTTTATCAGTCTGAATGCCTCATGTGCTGATAGTAACTGGAAATTCCTCTTAAAGAATGTCAAATTGAACTAAAAAACCACTAAGCTGTTAAAAATTAGCATCTTTGTCAAAGATGAGTAGCAGAGTTTATTATTAATTTGTAACCCTAAGAAGCAAAAAATGTATATTCTACCTTAATCATCTGTTAAAATTATAATCCTAGTGTTTTCCCCAAGTAATGATCATTTTTTGCAATAGTCTACATCCTTCAAGATCCTCAAATCAAAGTCTACTAAGAGGTCACAATAGCAAACAATGAAACAACAGGAATTCCATGAAATAAAAGAATGTGAAAGGCTTTCATGTTAAAAAAAAAAAAAGATAAAGGAATCAAGTCTTCATGATCATAATTACAACATGATCTTACCATGCAGACTTCTAATGCAAGCAGTGCTAGTTTCAACAGACTTGAGAGCTTCCCACCCCAACTGCCCTGCTGGGACGCCACTTGTAGACTCTTTCTGTAACACATCTCTGCAGCACTCATCATTCCTTGAGACTGATACACTTGCGCCAGCCACTAAGAACAATAAGGGAGAAGAATGCAAAGGATTTTCATTCAGCACAGTCTGCTCCCTCAGTCCCAGCAATTCAATAAATTCTGATGAAGTCAAATTTTTTCTTTATCAGTTAGCCCTATGCCCCAAAAAACAAAAATTATAGGCCAAGAAAGGGATATTACATTGCCCATTCTATTAGCAACAGCTTATTTGCCATACCTAGTCTGATATCTACAGGTCTCCTAAAATGGCAAATAAGGAATAAAGTCAAAATGTAATGTGAAATCTGGCGTGTTATGTAAATATTAACCAAAAGAAAGTTTCTGCAGGTGTACTAATAGCCAGCACGACAGACCTTAAGACAATTATTTAAGTGTTAAAGCGGGATACTTTATAATGATGAGAGTCATTATATTCAGCATAAACACTTCTACATGTGTATATACCTAATAACAAAATTCACTGAACAAAAGTTGACAGAAATGAAATCCAGAATCACAGTTGGGAGATTTTAACACTCAAAAATAATAAAAGAAACAGACAATAAATAAATAATTCATAAAGGTACAGAAGATTTAAACAACCAGCTTGATTTAAATGATATATTTAGAAGACTACATTCAATAACTGCTGAATAGCTATTCTTTCCAAGTACACATGAAACAATTACCAAATTTGACCATATGTTGGGTCATAAATCAAATCTCAACAAATTTCAAAGGACTGAAATCATACAAAGTATGTTCTGATTAACTAGAACATGAAATCAGTAACAAGAATACCTAGAAAATCCTCTGTATTAGTAATTTTGTAACATGCTTTATTAAAAAATGAGTGAAAGAAACCCAATGGAAGTTAGAAAACATTTTGAAATGAAGGACAATAAAAGCACTACATAAAATTTTGTGGGATACACATATTAGAACAACAGAAAATTCTATCTTGAGAAGCTGGGGAAAAACAACAAATTAAACCCCCCAAAAGTAAAACAAATGAAACAGCAAAGAGAAGAAATCAATAACATGTAAAAAAAGAATAATAAAAATCAACAAACAGGAAATTGGCTTTTTAAAAATTCATAAAATTGCTAAAGTTATCCAAAGATAATGAGAAACAAACCACCAATATAACAATGAAAAAGGGAAAATTACACTAGATCCTGCAAACTTTGAAGAAGATACAATATCATGAATAATTTTATGCCAATAAGTCTGAAACTGAGATGCAATGGAAAAATTCCCTGACCCTCACAAATACGTTTTATAAAGAACATGAAGGGCTAAATCACTAGGCACTGTGCCTGCCTAGCAAGCACTGGTCCTGAGTTTGATCCCCGGTACAAAAAAAAGAACATGCAATCTTAAATCTTACTGGTATATATATATGAAATTTCATTTCATCTGTAATTTAAAACTTTCCCTGAACAAATTTTCTGGCCTAAATGACTTTAATAGTGAATCCTTCTGAACCGTTAAAAAACAAATTAACAGACTTCTTATACAAACTCTTTCAGAAAATTTTTTAAAAGAAATAAGAATTAGATACCAATACTTAACAATTCAGGGAGAATATTTCTTTTTTAATTCTCCCAAATTAAACTACAGATTCTCAAAAGTTTCAATGAAGAGAGGGCTTTTGTGTATGCATGTAGAAATGAACAGTTTATATGGAAATGCATAAGTTCTAAAATCACTAACACAAAGAACAAAAAAGTTGGATATTTTAATGGTACCATACATCAAGACTATGAAGTTATGAGCAAGACTAACTGGAAAGGAACAACAAAAAAAAGAACACAAAGCCCCAGAAGACTCACACATACACAGTCAGCTATTTATGACACACACATAGATAACATTTATGAGCGGTCTTTTCAAAGAACAGGTAGATAAGATATCCATAGAAAAAAATTAATTATGACCCCTCCAACATTCACAAAAATAATTCTACGGTAAACTATAAAGCTAAATGGGAAAAATAAAGCAATAACATTTCTAGAGTGAAACATTAAATCTTTATGAACTTAGAATAAGCAAGGAATTTTTAAATAGAACACCTAAATAGAGCATTAACTATTTAAAAATGATAAAGTAGGTCACTGAAGTTAAGAAATGTTATCAAAAAATAACATTCAAGTGCTGAGGTAACCCACAGATGTGAAAAAATATTTGCAATACAAATATCCAAAACTGTGCTTGTATCCAGAAATATAATAGATTCCAATAGTTCATTATAAATAATTTGTTTACTCCATAAGAAAAAACAAAGTCTATTAAAATTATGCAAAGGCACATAAAAAGGAGGATATTCAATAAGCATATAAGGAGTTGCTCAACATCATTAGTCATCAGGTAAATGCAAATTAAAAACCACCAAAAGATACTACTATCTACATATCTACCTAAATGGAGAAAAAAACAACAATCTAGCAATGCTAGCAACTAGAATGCTCATGCACTGCTAGTGTGAGTGTAAACTGGTATAAACATTTTGGGAAATTGTTCAGCAAGTTCAACTAAATACAATGTACATATATCCTATATACCACCAAAAGAGAGGCCAAGGATGGCCATAGCAGCATTTATGTGGGCTACATAAACATATATAGTATGGTAAAAGGGATATATGTACAAATATAGTATGGTAAAAGCATATATATATATATATATATATATATATATATATATATCTCCTAAAATGAAAAAAATTATTCCTACATAAAAATAGAAATTCCAAGCAAAATGAATCTCACAGAAACTAGCCAGATACAAATAAACATTGCATTTGTATGAAGTCTGAATATACGCAAAACTAGACAGAAGCAGCCAAAGTCAGAATAGCAATTTCCTTTTTGTGGAAGTGGAGAGGGGCTTGGGAGAGGAAATCAACTGAGAGAAGCATCAGGAAGCTGGAAATGTTCTGTCCTGACATGAGTGGTAGGTAAACATGTACATATGCATGTAGAAGTTCAAGGAGTTGAACTTTTTATTCCTTATAAATTATAATATAAAACACATAATCTCTTAAGTTCTTTACTTATTACATAATATGTCCTTTAATTTTGTTCCCTTTTAGTTTGACAAGGTAATTCTACCAATGATAAAGAATAAGAAATCAATATCCAATTAACCTTAGAGTTAAAGTATCTAGATCTCATTTGGCAAAATTACTCTAAAAGAGGGAAATCAAGAAACCATATTCTTCAAAGATTAGAATAAAATGGAAGCTCAGCTTGCATAACCTAACTATTCTATGCCATTACATAATTATTTAAACTAGGGATATCATACAGTTGATACAATGACAGCACAGAATAAAGAATAAATTATAGTTAAAAAAAAGCTTCTATAAAACCTATACCAAAGGTCTCCAGTATTTTCTCTGGGGCACAGAAAGAAATATAACAAGCTGAAATAAATGATTATAGGCTTCTTTGTATTTCACTATCAATAAGAATGTAAGACACAGTGGTGACTGAGCATATGTCATCATGAGTAGCCAGAGCCAGCTAAAGAGCAGATCATCTGCTGATATAAGCACCAGTGCTGAAAATTCATATCTGTAAAAGCACTAATCATCCATTAAAATGTTGGATATGAGTTACCTTAAAACAGCAGGAAAAAAACTACACACATCCCTTCTAAAGGAAAAGTTTAAAAAATCCACTGTTATCCTTATCATAAAATGCTTAAAACATTTCTTTAACTCTCTTACATAAACCCCATATAAAAGACAGTATTTTTACCACTATTTCAAATTGAGGAAAATTACAATCTATGAACAAGAAGTTTTGAAGTGTTACAGTAGTGGATCCTAAATTAGTATTAAACTTCTTTGGTTCCTCTAACCACAGTACCCTTTACATCTTGGAATTGATAGATACATGGTGAGTTTAAAATCAAGACTTAAATAAACATGGAGCACATCCCTGACCCCAACTGGTAGCATGCAGTGTTTTAACTTAGGACTCAAGAAAGGAGACAACTTACCTGCCAAGCTGGAACAGAGGTGGAGTTGGACTTGACTGCTTTTTGCAGTTCTTCAAGTACAGCATCTGGGAGTGGCTTTTGTGACTCTAGGAGTGATTTACACTGAACTTGTCTCAAGAGTAAAAGAACAGCTGGTTGATCAGGGTTACTTTTTAAGTTCTAAAAATTAAACCCAAAATAGGAATAATAAATCAAATAGGTTCTTACATAGTAAAAGTAAAAAGCAATCAGTTATATGCCAATTTGGAGGAAAAATCTTAATTTAAGCCTTTTCTTATTACAGTGTAAACAACTACAAAAGCTAAATGAAAGATTGAACAGCTTGGAAATATCAAAGCTGATATTTAAAACCTACATAAGCCTACATAATGTTTAACATTAGGAATGATATTATTGTGGTATACAAATTATTTATTTTAGCTTTAATATGTCCTTGACTAGGTTTATTCTCAGGTGATACCTTGCAAAATGTGGGTTCTGAATGTAAACAGCTAAACTAAGAAGATGTGAAACAAACTATAATATATAAAGAAGGAAAGATGTATCATTTTTTTCTGCCTCAACCTCTTACCAAAGATATTTACTCCATGTCTTTCTTCTAGGCACAGACTTCTTATGCATTTGGAATAAGAATAACAGTAATGACTTTTTCTCATTCTCCTAAGCTTCTATACCCTAATCCACAGAGATACCTACATAGAAATATAGGTAGACAAGTATCTCCTTCCATATATAAATGGAAGGTGTCTTCCAGCCCTCTCTTCCTTCCATTCTTGTTCCTCTTTCCTTCTGAACTAAAGCTGTTTTTATTAGCAGACATGATCACATACATAGAAAAAGCTTAGAAAATTACCAAAACAGCTACATTATCTAACAATTGAGCTCAGCATGAGCTTAGGCTGCAAGGTCACATGAAATTCAACAGTATTACTACATACCAGGAACAAAAACATGGCCATTAAAATAAACTACAGCCAGGCATGGTGGTACACACCTGCAATCCCAGCACTTGAGGGGCTGAGACAGGAGGACCGCTGTGTTTGAGGCCAGCCTGGAGTGAGCTCAAGGCCAGCCTGAGTTACAGAGTGAGACCCTGTCTCAAAAAACCAACAACAAAAAGCCAAAACAACAACAACAACAACAACAACAACAACAAAACTACATACAATACCATACAAAAATACTAAATATGTAGAGGTAACATTAACAGAATGTGTAAGTTCCATATACTAACAAGTACAAAATATGGCTGGTATAAATTATACATACAAATAATTGGAAAAATAATACCATATTCTTGGATCAAAAGATTTAATATTTCCAAGATGCTAATTCTTTCAAAATTTATTCGCTCTTTTTAATAGAAAATGGTGGTTTCATTAGTTTCCCTTCAGGGACATATTTATACTTTCTCAACATCTAACATTTGTACTTATTTATGGAGTACAGAGTTATAATTTGAAACAATATATAACATATTATGATCAAATCAGGGTAACTAGGATTTCTGTCACTTCAAACGTTACCAATCCTGTGTTGGGAATTTTCAAACTCTTCTTTAGTTAAAATATTTATTTTTTTATTGTTTGTCCCATAAACCATACTTACCTATTTTTTTCTTCAATAGGTCACAGTAAAACTCATTTCTAAAATACATTTGATTGTTTTCTTCTAAGTAAAGGACTACAACAATAAAATGACAAGGAAAGGCTCATGAAGTATTCTTTATTCTACTAGCACAAAGCAACTTTTAACTTATACTTAATAAACACACATAATAGGTTTGACCTGATCTCAGACAGATTCCTTACATGAAAGAAAAAATGTATTACTTTGCTTTCCAGAGAATCAATCAAAGGGAATTTCAAGTCCACTTTTCTTTCATTGTAAAATTTATACTCTTCTTTCAAAAAACATTTCTGGGGCTGGGGATGTAGCTCAGTGGCACAGTGCCTGCCTGGCAAGCACAAGGTCCTGAGCTTGATCCCCAGTACTGGAAAAAAAAAAATCAAAAAATTCTTCCAAAAAGACAACAAAATCATAAGCATTTATGAACCATAATGTTTTCAAGAAAAACCATGTTTAAAACTCTCCTTAACTACTAAATTATTTGAGTGATTTTATGAAACTGATTCATTCATTCAATAAATATTTGTTGAGCCCCCTACTATGAGTTAGACAAGAAGGTAAGAATTTACTCAATCTGCAAACACAGAGCCCTACAATGCGGCTTGTAAAAACTGACTACTGAGTAAGTCCAGTCCCCTAGTCAATAATCTCCACAGTCATTCTGTCAGTGATGTTGAACCTTTAAGAGATGGAGTGCCAGACTGCAACCCAACATTCACTTATTTATCCCAAAGCGCCAATACTGCAATTAAACCTGAATACTGAGGTTTTAGTTGAGAAAAAAAACAACTCTACATTAACATGTTTTGTATTAAAATAAAAACACAACAACACCACAACATAGGTTCACCATCACTGTTCTATGTGGTTCAGACTCTGAAAAAACACAGTATTCTAAGGGGAGTAGCCAGAAATCAAAGAAAAATACTGCCTCACCCCCAGCGCTGAAGAGCAGAGCCACACCCAGCACCAAGGAGGAACCTTCCTGGCCGCCTTACCACTGGCCTCAGTGCTGAGGAACAGAGCCACCCCCAGCGCTGAGGAGGTGAGCCATGTGGATGCCAGCAGCAACCCCCCCCACACCCTGTGGAAATGAGAAGACACTTAAACAAGTCTCAAAACCAGACTTCCAGATAACCTAAAGCAACTGCAAAGGGAAACCAGATGGAACAATCTGATACTCCACCACCTGGTCTCCCTGAACTGGCAACAAAAGAGGATCTGGAAAAAAAGAAATCAGAAATAATTTCTCAAATAACAGCAGAGATTGTGCCCACAGTGCAAGACATGATTAATAAATCTAGAGAG